CAAATGACATGTCATCAGCATGTGACTGCAACTTGTTCCTGTTCGCGGACGACTCAGCCCTGCTGGTCTCTGACAGGAGCAGATTGCAGGTTGAAAAAACCCTCAGCTCCGAGCTCGGCAGAATCTGCACCTGGCTCGCCGATAATAAATTATCATTACACCTGGGTAAAACAGAGTCCATTCTCTTCGGTTCGAAACATAATCTCAGCAAATCCGACGACTTCTCAGTTGCAGTGGGTGACATTATTGTCACAAGTAAGAAGGAAATTACATACCTAGGATCTATTCTTGAGGCAAACCTCTCCTGTGACAAAATGGCATCCAATGTAATAAAAAAAGTCAATCAAAGAACTAGATTCCTATACCGGATCTCCTCTCTGGTAAACAAAAACACCCTGAAAACTCTGGCAGGAGCACTCATTCAAGGGTACTATGACTATGCTTGCACGTCATGGTACCATAGCACCTCCAAGGCGCTAAAAATAAAACTTCAAACATCGCAAAATAAACTGGTCAGACTACTGCTTGACCTTTCATCTAGAACCCACCTCACCTCTGCCCACTTTGACAACCTAGGATGGCTTAGAGTAGACGACAGAGTACAGCTACTTGCAATGGGCCTGGTCTACAAGATCCACTACACCTCTATGGTACCCATGTACATGTCAAAATTCTTCCCAAAGGTCAAGGAATACCATGATCATAACACCAGAGGGAGCTCCACAAATCATGTAAAACCCAGATTTGGCACAAAAAAAGGGGAATACACGTTTCGCAATTATGCCACATCAAGGTGGAACGCTCTTCCCACAACTGTAAAGGAAAGTAAAACTATACTTACCTTCAAAACCTCTCTTAAAGAGCACCTTCGGGGGAAAGCATTGCAAAACTGGCCCCGGTAATGGTACAAATCTCAACCTGTCGTACAATGGACAGCTTCCCCCCCCCATCTATGTATATACTCGCATTTTAGACTCTGTTACTAACTGTATATCTGTAGACTTGGTATGTCTTAAATGTCCGGTTAGGATGTATTAGAACGAAATCTAAAATGAAAATTGTAAATAAGCCATCTGTATGTAAAAAACCACCTGTATGTAAATTGTAAATAAGCCATCTGTATGTCAAATATGTCTTATATGTCTTAAATGATATGATGAATTGGAAATGGGGGACCCTGATGTAAACAAGACGAAAGTCTTTCTCTGGTCTGCATCCCCTTAACAATTGTATGTTTTGAGCTGTACTGTACTGTACCCAATATACAAGCTGTTAATAAACTTTTCAATCAATCAATCAATCACCCCAGCTTCCACCCCAGCTTCCACCCCAGCTTCCACCCCAGCTTCCACCCCAGCTTCCACCCCAGCTTCCACCCCAGCTTCCACCTGTAGGCTCGGGGGATAGTTATCTAATCATCACTCAATGTTCTTTGTAAATCTGTGGAGTGATGAGGCCCGAGCCTAGACGCCAAACTCAATCTATATGCTGCTTCTAATAAACATATTAAGAAACACGTGAGTTGTCTGACTGAAATCATAATACGGCAATACACTGTTTTTTATTAATGGCAGTATTTCACCTGTAGTCAGAGCGCCCTCAGATTACCGTGTTTGCTCGTTTACCTGTCGAGCCAAATCCTGAAATCCCGTTAGCCAATCAACACTCTCTGCTTCAGCTTCTGATCTTTAACCCCAGACATGTTAACCTCCTCTGAGTGTGTGTGGAGGGCAGACTGAACAACAACAAGCTCACACACACACACACACAGACAAAACATAAGTGTTACAGCCGCGTGTGATGAACTTTAATCCAGATGCTCTTCGTCAAACAAGAACCTCCCGTGTTTTTCATCTCTTTGAATATTTACTGTAAGTCTTTATGAGTCAGAGCGCTAAATGACTGAAACTCCACCTAAACGGAGACTTTAAATGTCTGCTCTGCTAATGGTGTGCAGCTTTAAAGGACGACAGTAATGCATGCTGGGTAAAAATACAATAGGGAAGCTTTCTCTACTGCAAGGGTATTGTTAGGCGGTGGTGGAAAGTATATTTATTCAGGTTCTAAAGTACACATTTACGTGAGTATTTTCATGTTATGCTACTTTATACTTCTACTCCACTACACTTTGGAAGTCACTATTGTACTCTTTGCCCCACTTTGTGTATCTGACAGCTCTAGCTACAGATTATTAGCTAATACATATAAATTAACTAATGCAAAAACCATAATAAGTTATTAAAATATCAAGCACAAGTATAAAAGGTAATTGAGAGATTAGCTCCATATTAACCAGCTTTGATGAACACATGCTTCAATATCTCACAATCAGAGGTGTAAAGTAACTAAGTAGATTTACTCAAATACTGTACTTCAGTACAATTTTGAGGTGCTTGTATTTTACTCGAGTATTTAAATGTTTTGTTACTTCTACTCCACTACAGTTCAGAGGTAAATTGTGTACTTTTACTCCACTACATGTATTTAATACCTTTAGTTACTTTACAGATGTGGATGAATGATGTGAAATATAATCAAGTCTTAAATCAGACTTTAGTTCCACCTGGAGTAAATTCACAAGCTACCCTGCAGTATACAAAGTCATTCAAACTAGCTGCACCTTTACCAGCTTTGAGAACACTTTCATGATCAATCATTATAAAACATATCATATATATTATTCTGAAATGGACCAATCTGCACAATGACTACTTTTACTGTCGCTACTTTCACTATATTTTGATGAGAATACTTTTCTACTTTTACTTGAGGAACATTTTGAATGCAGGACTTTTACTGTAACAGAGTATTCCTACACTCTGGTACTTCTACTTTTACTCAAGTACAAGATCTGAGTACTTCTACTTTTACTCAAGTACAAGATCTGAGTACTTCTACTTTTACTCAAGTACAAGATCTGAGTACTTCTACTTTTACTCAAGTACAAGATCTGAGTACTTCTCCTTTTACTCAAGTACAAGATCTGAGTACTTCTACTTTTACTCAAGTACAAGATCTGAGTACTTCTACTTTTACTCAAGTACAAGATCTGAGTACTTCTACTTTTACTCAAGTAGATCTGAGTACTTCTACTTTTACTCAAGTACATGATCTGAGTACTTCTACTTTTACTGAAGTACAAGATCTGAGTACTTCTACTTTTATGCAATTACAAGATCTGAGTACTTCTACTTTTACTCAAGTACAAGATCTGAGTACTTCTACTTTTACTCAAGTACAAGATCTGAGTACTTCTCCTTTTACTCAAGTACATGATCTGAGTACTTCTACTTTTACTCAAGTACATGATCTGAGTACTTCTACTTTTACTCAAGTACAAGATCTGAGTACTTCTACTTTTACTCAAGTACAATATCTGAGTACTTCTACTTTTACTCAAGTACAATATCTGAGTACTTCTCCCACCTCTGGTACTGATCAAGTGTCACAGGCACTAAACACAAACATGAATCTGAAACTGAGCATCATATGACTTTTAAATATGATTTTGAAAGCAGGACTTTAACTTGTAACAGAGGTTTTTTACGATGTATTATGTCACTCCTAAGTCAAAGATCTGAGTACTGCTTCCACCACTGTTGTTAAGTGTGAGCCAACATTCCTTGCATGGTATAGCGCTCTCTCCCTCTCCTCTTCCTCCTCCTTTTCCTCCTCTTCCTCCCTCTTCCTCCCCCTTTTCCCTTCCTGCAAAACAGACGCTGTAACACCCCTCCCTCCCTCAGAGGTTAAAAATACACTTTATCAGCCTCTGGTGCCGCAAAACAAAACCTGCAACGCCGTCAAGCTCCAGTAAGATGGATCTGTTTTATAAAAAGTTAAGAAATATAGGGAATCGGTTGCTCGTAAGAATTGAAGTGAATCAAACTTCATGACTTGGTCGTTAGATTTTAAGTTTAACACACAAAGTCTATTTAAAGAGGCCCTATTGTTATTATTATTTCCCCTTTCCTGTAGTGTGTTACTAAGGTTTTAGTGCATGTTAATGGTCTGCATGGAGACATGTCACAGTCGAGGACAAATTACAAATATGAACCAGAACATTTGAATAATGACTTAAAGGGGACCTATCATGCAAAATGCACTTTTGTACGTCTTTTATACATGAATATGTGTCCCCGCTGTTCCAGGGAACTCACCAAGTGTCAGAAAACACAACCCTCTCTATCTTCCTCCATACCCAAATCTCTAAAAAAGGGGCTGCAACGGATCTGATAAAAACTGATCCAGATTTGAACACTGTCCTGACGTCAGGACGGTGGTGCTACGGCTATTGGGCCAACTCCACTAATCAGGAGGAGACAGCCACGGCCATTGCCGTTCGAAAGCGCTGGAGACGCTGTAGTACATATGCCAGGCCTGTAGATGGTGCTGTTCTCACAGAATCAGCCCTTGCACAAACAGAGCTAAAAAATGTCAAATTGAGCAAAATGAGGCATGGCTAAAATGCATGATCTGTTTGGTATTTTGAAAAAAAAAAAAGTATAAATATGCCTTATATAGGTATGGTCCTACCCTATATTATTCAAATATAGCATGATAGGTCCACTTTAAAGAAATTAAGACAAATCTTGGTTTCTAGTTACTTTCACATTATTTTGTGTCTACGACGAGTTACAAGATACAGTGAAATGATAGAAGTGTGGAATAATAGAAGTAATGCAATATCCAGAAGTACGTTGATATTGAACAGTTTTATTAAATATTAAGTCGAGGCTATCAATGAACTTGTTAAAAGCCTATTTATATATATATCAAAAGTGATGCAAAAACAATGCAGTTGAGCAGAAATGTAGTAATGATTGTTTTACCAGCAAATACCGTGTCTAGATTGTTGCGTAATTCACAAACCTCACAGTCAACATCTCTGGAAATACTTCCTTAAGAAATCTGAAACCAGTATTTTTGTAGATCACAGAGATTTGAACATGAAGAGAGGCTGCTGTTCTGAATAGATTGAGTACCTGAGGTTAACGGCTCACCTGTAGATGTGGAGGTCTCTCTGTCTCCGGGGTCACCGTAGAGGTCATGGTGGCCCTCTGGATCCTACGTCCGACAGACATGCGTTCATTCCCTCTGAGTGTAAAACACAAGCAGACATCCACACTTATATACAGAGAGGAGGAGGAGGAAGAGGAGGAGGAGGAGGAGGAGGAGGAGGAGGAGGAGGAGGGAGCGCCACAACCACAACACAGCGATTAGAGAGCAGAGAGGTTTTAAATCCTCGTGAGTTTGCTGAGCTCCTCCGAGGTTTGATCCTCTCCTGAAGAAAAGTCTCAACTCATCCTCTTCAATCAGCATTAGACGAGACAGACACACACACACACACACACACACACACACACACACACACACACACACACACACACACACACACACACACACAACAACTGTGTGTGCTGCACAAATGTGTGTGTAGTATACTATGTTTTTAGACAAGTTTGTAGAGTACTCCTACTTATTCTAGAAGAAGATATTATATATACTAGAAAGTTAGATACCGTGTTGTTTAGGTTAATTTTTTGAAGTCCATTTTTATTCATTTGAATTATGTTTTAAACTTGTGTAATGACATGCTGCTCTGACCATTACATTACATTACATGTCATTTGTTAGATGCTTTTATCCAAAGCGACTTACATACTCAATACTGTGGGCAATCCCCACAGGAGCAATTTGGGGTGAAGTGTCCCAGGGACACAACGACATGCTGACTGCAGTGGGACTCGAATTTGCTATCCCCTGATTTGAAGTCCAGCACTCTATCCACTGAGCCACAGCCGCCTCCGAACAAAATCTTAATTTAGGACAGATATAGTATATCTCATCCCTGTCGGAAAGTAACAAGTAAATCTATCTAGTACTTTACTTAAGTACAATTTTGAGATACTTTACCTGAGTTTTTCCATTTTATGCTAATTCATTATTGTACTCCAGTACAATTTGGAGGCAAATATTATACTCTTTACTTCTCTAAATGTATGTAACAACATCATATAATTTACTCTGCGGATTCATATTATTAATAGGAATGGAAATCATAAAAATGTATATAGTACTACTTGGGATCTCTAACTGTAATGAGCATATTACTCCAAAAGTGTCAATTCTGCATAATGAGTACGTTCGGTTTTGGTACTTTAGGTATGCCGATCTTTACCGTTTAGTGTAAATGTAAAACTATGAATGCCAGACTGTTACTTAAGTAAACGATCTGAGTACTTCTTCCTCTACATGCTCATTCTCCTCATCAGTTAAAGTCCACCTCGTCTTCACTTTAATGCGGACAGAGCAGTCAGAGGGGAATTACATTTCATTTCGCTCTGCTTTGTGTGCAGGGAAACGTCTCGTTCATGTTCTCATTTGTTAAATGTTTGAAGTCCGAGTCGTAAAAACCGTTGAGAACATTGGAAAGTTTGGGAGGTGTAACATGCACAAAGCCCAATAAGTGTTTTATAAGTGCAGTCGGCTGTTTCTAAGGTCAAGACGAACATGTCAAACTCAATGTATTGATATTATTTCTTTTGTAGGGGAATGAGAACTCGCTGCATTTTGCGCCTTTATTTTTAGTTATAGTAGAGAGGAAGGAAACGTGGGGAATGCAACCGGTTAGAAATGTGTGATGAGTTTATCCAAATAACGCATATTTTTAAATACATAATTAGGAAATGCTCGATGTGTGAGAGCGGCCAGTCGACATACAAAAGTCCACGTCAAAAATGTTTTGTATAATTATTCTCACTGCCAGAAGGATAGAGGGTTCCTCACTACATGTTTAACCCAACACAGTCTCACGGCATTTCATGTTATAGTCACGAAATTAATCTATTGATTCGTGTTCACCAACACGATTTCGCCATTTTTTTCGTGTCACACAGAACGATTTTAAAAGCAATGTAAATAATAACAAATTAGAAGGAAAAAGACATTTAAAAAAATACAGATTTCAGTATTCTGACACAGAACGATTTTAGAAGCAATGTATTTATATTGGTAGTATGTTTCGTGCCTGCACCAAATAATAACAAATTAGAAGGAAAAAAAGATGACATAAAATACAGATGTCAGTATTCTGAGGCTCTGAGCCATTTCTTTTCCTCGCGGACGGCAAAAAAAACTCAGACATTATACAATTTAAAATAAAAGGGATAGGGTTAGGCTTAGGGTAAGATATTGAGTAAGAACATGTTTTTATGAACCACACAGCTTCTGGTCTTCCAAGACCCGACCGGACAAAAAGACGTGTTGCAGGCACGAAACATACTACCAATAGAAATACATTGCATTTAAAATCGTTCTGTGTGACACGAAAAAAAATTGAAAATCGTGTTGGTGAACATGAATCAATAGATTACATTAATTTCGTGACTAATAACACGAAATGCCGTGAGACTGGGTTGGTTTAACCATATGGTAATAAATAATAATTCAAATGTAACTGATCAGAGATACCAATTTGGCGGTAGCTAGCTATATAGCTAAAGTTTGATAGCTGGCTTTTAAGATAGTTAGCTGGCGTGAGCTAGTTTGCTAGTTTGATAGATAGCGATTTTTAGCTTGCTTGTTAATCAGATAGCTAACGTTCACTAGCAAATTTGAATATTGATAAAAAAATGTTAGCTAGCTTGGTGATTAGATTGCTAATGTGCGCTGGATAGTTTGATTGATAGATAGCTAACGTTTGCTAGATAGCTTGTTGGATAGATAGCTAACGTTTCACAGCTAGCCAGTTAAGTAGTACACTGACTGGTTTAGTGAAATCGCTCTGTAGGTTAACTTGTATTTATAAATGTTAACACTGTGGGACTTTCTCTACCCTTCTGGTTATGATAAACTGTAGATATTTGCTTTAGTGTGGAGTCTGTCCAGTATTTTCTCAAGTTCTTTTTACAGTGATGCTAATGCTAAGCCAGAATAACGTACATATGTCTTTGTTCCAGAAGTGGGGAAATGAAAGGTGAATAAGTCACTAAATACAATACTCTGCAGAATATGTCCGAAGAAGCATCGTCCATTGAAGCAGTGATACGTGGAGTGTCAATTCTGCATTTCTTGTGCATTTCGCACCCCTAGCTGCCCTTTTGTAGCCATGCTTTCTCTCTAATTTTGCTGAACATTGCAAACAGGAAATCTCTTGCATTACATTCCTGTCTGCTGCTTTCAAAACCAGTTCAATAAGCAAAGCCACAGAAACCCCTGAGAAAGGAAAGTGAACAGAAAGCGGTCATCAGGGTCTCACACTATCAAATGTCAACAAGCATTTTTCTACCAAAATAAACACGTAGCAGTTTAACGAGCATCTTCGTGTATTTGGTCATTTGTAGGCTATTCTCTCGGTGTCACTGCGCCGATTAAATGACTTTACATTTGGACCCAGTACTTTATCCCAGCTCTCATTCCTGTGGTTAACCTCACATATTTACAACCAGGAGACAAAAGTGGCAGTGAACTGTATCCCTCTGTGAAATATACACATAGATTTTCCCTTTTTCAACTGTTTATACTGGGTAAATAAATACTGCATGGCATCCAACTTCAGTGATTTCCATCTGTGGGAAGAATTACAACACCGTTTTTTAACTTATAATTAAGATATTAACAGCTTCAGATCATCTGTGTTTATTCATTATACATCAGAGAGTGGGTTTCAACGCAAAGAAGCTTCAAGTGGCGAGGAAGATAGAATAAGTTAGTTTTTTTATCATGTAATGGCTTTTACAAACTCTTTTCTTTTAGTTGTATTTCTTTCAAAGTGTAATGTAAATAACGGGACCAGACTGCACTCGTTAGGTTGTCTAATAAGGCTTTCAACGGGTCAAAAACAGGCTGCCAGTCTGCAGTAGATACAGATGAGACAGCAGATGCTTTTCTAACAATCTTGGAGGCTAACGAATGAGCGAAAACAAGAAACACTGTGGCATTGTGACGGACACATAATGAGACAATTGGCCCGTGGGAACAGACATGCAAAATGCCGACCACTTATAGGAGCAAGCATGCTTGGGGAGTAACAGATAACATGTTACGGGATGATGTAATCAGGATACAAAACACATAACTGTATTCCCTTACAGTTGAATAAACTAGCAGGATAACAATGTTACGAAAAAACAAAAAAGAGAGAATTGGCTTTATGGTTTTGACTCCGTTCTGATTGCCCTGTTGTGATTGGTCAACCGCTCAGAGATGTCCCGCCCCTAAGCCTATCACGTACAATGTGTTGTAGCGCTAGCCAATAGAAGTGTGAGTGTTATATAGTGATGTCACAGTGTTCCAGAAGTAAACAAAGGAGTCCAATGGAGGCGTTTCAGGCAGGGAGGAAGACTGTGTGCTCATTTTGAGTCTGTTTTGTCTCTTTGAGGGACATTTCATTCTTCCAGCAAGAGGGAAATTGACAACGTTATAACTTTTGGTTCTGTCGTTTTCTCTAATTACATGCATGCATTTCCACAGTGCTATACCTCAACAGTATGAGGACAAATTGTGACTTTCTTTACTTGGAAAATGATCTTTGAAATGTTCAAACTGGGTCAAAATCTTGTTTTTCTTTCACTGAGGACTACTGCACCATACATGTTGCACATGGAGCATCAAAAGGGGCGGAACCTTGTCTCTCTTGGTGTTTTAAAGAAGCCTTTCTCTGTCTGTGTGTGTGTGTGTGTGTGTGTGTGTGTGTGTGTGTGTGTGTGTGTGTGTGTGTGTGTGTGTGTGTGTGTGTGTGTGTGTGTGTGTGTGTGTGTGTGTGTGTGTGTGTGTGTGTGTGTGTGTGTGAGCCAGCCTCAGATGTGTTTTCCTCTCACCCCTCAGATCTTCTCTCAGAATGCATCAGCTGCAATTTTCTCTAATTTGCTCCCTGCACACCTTACAATTTATTCTTCTAAGAACAAAAACAAAAACACACACACACACATACACACACACACACACACACACACACACACACACACACACATACACACACACACACACACACACACACACACACACACACACACACACACACACACACACACACACACACACACACACACACACACACACACACACACACACACACACACACACA